CAAGCACCTTTCAGTCACCAGGACTCTTTCCCCTACCTCCCCACAGCCAGAAAACCCTGGTGGCTAAGTATAGAATCCAAGAACTTTTTAGTACTTTGTTACTACCCTGTTAAGAAACAGCCTCTTTTGTGGGGGCAGGGCTTCATTAAAGATTGAAGACTAAAGGCTGGGTGCTGTGGCTCAAAATTCCAGGAAATAAGGAGGACTGAGTTCAAGACCAGCCTGTACAAAAAGTTAGCATAGAGCCTATCTCAACAAATAAGGCAAGCCTGGTACACCATATCTGGAATTCTAGCTAAGCAGGAGGTAGGAGGATCAATCCAAGACAAAAAAAAAAAGGAAGATATCTGAAGTATGTCTAAAGCCAAAGGGCTGGGGGCATGGCTCAAGTGGGTCAGTGCTTGGTTAAGAGCATGAAGCCTTGAGTTCAAAATAAAATAACTAAACAAATCACAGATTAAAGACAGAATCACTACCATCACCAAGGATGACTTCTATATGTAAATCATTACTTCTAGAGTGTTAATAATAACAATAAATGTGAAATGTACATAGCAGAGGAATAAATTATTTTCACTTGAAAATGATATTATTATATTGCTATGGAAGTTTATGAGACCCAAATCTAAAAACTCTTGTCTAGAACACAGGAATTGGGCAAAATGGCCAGATCTGAGATAAACTTAACAATATTTTACAGCTTTTACTTCTAGCCAAAATCAGAAGCTACGTGTGTTGGTACATGCCTATAACCCCAGCAGGTAGATAAGGCAGTAGAACTGTGAGTTTGAGGCCCACCTAGGCTACATATAACAAAACAGAAGATTGCATCTACAATAGCAAAAGAAAAAAAATGAAAATAAAACTTATCAAATACCAAACAGGCACATACAAAATAGATAAAAGGAGAAGAAAATTCTTAAGGTATAGTACTAAGAATAAAACATTCAAATGGTGAGACCAAGGACAAAGGATGAACCAATGCAACAAGAATACTCACAAGACAACATGTTGCAATGAACTGTACAACTTGGTGGGGGGAGTGATGGGAGGGAAGTTGGAGAAAAATGAGGGAGGTGTTAACAAGTTTGACAAGTAATGTACTCACTACCTTATGTGTGTAATTGTAACCCCTCTGTAAATCACCTTGACAATAAAATTAAACTAAAAAAATGTACCAAACCATATAGGGCATGACATATCAATATATGAATATATACACAAATGAGGTATTCAATATTAATGGAAGCAATAGTAACAATGTATTAATAATATCCACTATTTCTGAATATTAGGATAATCGAAATATTAATTTTCTTCCTATTGTTAGTATTATCCCCACCTTTGGTCCTCAGCTCCACCCAGACCTGAGCGCCTCCCTGCCCTGGAGTTCCCCACCATACAGCTGTCCGCTCCTTCTCTCTGCCCAGACCTACTTTGCATGCACTTACCTCACTTCCACCCTCACTTCCTCCCCCAGGCCTGCCTGCCACCTGGCTAGGAGCAGATGCCATGGGCTCCCTCTCCCAGGATGCTGTGGTCCCTCTAATAAACCTTATAATAAGCTTTTTCCTGTGCCTGCCTGCCTCTGTGTGTTCCCCTGGGATGCTTGTGAAGGATTCTTACAATAGTTTGTTTTTTAGATTTTCTACTATGATCATGTAAAATATCTGTACCCCAAATTCATATTTCTGCAAGGTGTTACTTAAAGCACAATGCCTATTTTGAAATGCAAATAATACATAGACTTCAGTCTCTAACTTTGGCCAGAAAGCACTAAGGGAATGGAGTTCAGTCTCTTTACCAAGCCAGCATACCAGAATAGCAGCAGAAAAAGCACTTGAACCACCCTTCAAGCTGAATATGATTACTGTTCCAGGTGATGGATTTGAAAGGGCTTTTAAATTCAATCTGTGATTACAGTTAGGCCTCCATAATAATCAACTTGATTCTACATTATGTAAATCCTGCTTCACAAAGGGAGACCCTGATCGAGAAAGAAGGAAAGAAAAAAAGCTCTGCAAGCAAGAATACTCTAGAAATACCATGTTTTGGATTAAATTAACATGCTATTTAATAATTTTTTTTAAATCCTTTTGATTCAAGCCTCATGTTCAGTGGCCTGCTGGGTCACATCACTAATGATTTCAGAGAGTGAGTTTTACTGACCCAGGGAGGGAGGGAGTGGGGGGAGGAAGCCATACCTTGGCCTCTCCACATACCCAGCCAATGTCAAAGCTGAATGAGGAAACTGGTTCTATTGTGGTGGAGATGGTCAATGAAAAGTAATATAATGATATTGGTTTTGTTGCTGTTATGTTTTAGTTAAGAAGTCTAAGATGCTGGAAGCTCAGATTAACTCTGACTTTACCAAATACTTTCCTTGGGACAGTGGAAGACATTTTATTTATTTTATTTTGGCAGTACTGCACACATATACACATATTATATCATATGTATACATATTCTGTATACATATTCATATATAGAGAAATCATGTGCTATACAGTTCAGTATATATTTTTGAAGATGGAGCCGCATGCTTGCCTAACAGGGGCTTTATCACTTGAGCTGTGTACAATTCTAACCCCTTTTTTTCCACATTAGTTATTTTTCAAGTTGGATCATGCATTTTTGCCAAGGTCAGCCTCAAATTATACACCCAGCATACCTGGCACAACAGACACACACTATCATGCCCAACTTATTGACTGAGATGGGGGTGGGGGGGTCTTGCTAACTTTTTGCCTGGGCCAGCCTCAAACCAGAATTCTCCCAATCTCTGCCTACCAAGTATCTGGGATTTCAGATGTGAACACTGAATCTGGGTAGGAGAAGACATTTTACATCAATAAAATAGTAATATGAAAGTAATTCACCAAAGCTAGACATAGTGACATATACCTATAATCCTAGTACTCATAGACTGAGTCAAGAAGATGAAAAGTTTGAAGCTACCCTGGACTCCAGAGCAAGACATTGTCTATAAATAAATAAACACACTGAATAAATGCAGCTCATCAAAGGACCTCACTCACAAAATTAACCTAAGTATAAGGTGAGAGAATACTTTAATAATGCCTCCATGAGAAGCCTTATTTCTTATTATTATATGCTTTAAAAACCCTTGAAAATGTCATATACTTTTTAACAGATTCTATTCCTTATATTTTTAAGTCATATGACCTCAGTGGTAGGATAGGAAGAAAACTACAGAAAGGAAGAAATTACAGATAGAAAAATAAATCACTAACTAGCTATTTACTTTTTAAATGTTTTTAAAGCAGTCAGACATTAGTATAACTTTTCAGATTAACAAGTCCAATCAGAAGTTGAAGAACACAATGTACTTTCTTCAAACTAGACCTCTAAGAACTGTTGTGTATGCTGAATACAGTATTACAACCCTATAATACCAGCTACTTGGGAGATGAAGGTGGGAGGGATCATGGTTTGAGGCCACACAGGCAAAAAGTGAGATTCCCATTCCAACAAACAAACCGTGTGTGGTGATCCATTACAGAGAAGGTGTAGGTAAGTGAATCACAATCTGAGGCTGGCCCTAGACAATAAAGCATGAGACCCTACCCAAAATATAACACTAGAACAGGCTAGGGTCGTGGCACAAGAAAGAGATTACCTGCCTACTAAGTATGAGGCCCAGAGTTTAAACTTCAATACCAAAAATATCTACTGGGGGCTGGGAAGGTGGCTCAGTGGTAGATTCCTCAGCACCACATAAGCAAAAAGAAAAAAGCCGCAAGTGGCGCTGTGGCTCAAGTGGTAGAGCACTAGCCTTGAGCTGAAGAGCTGAGGGACAGCGCCCAGGCCCAGAGTTCAGGCCCCATGACCGGACCCCAAAAAAACAAACAAACAAAAATATCTACTATGTGATTTCTGAACCATCAGTTCTTTAAACATATGAAAGTTTACCTCCAAGTTCAAATTAATTCCAAATCCAACTTTCATTTTATCAACAAACACTAGCACTAGTAGGAAAACAGTTTACTTTTTTCCCTAGAAGAATAAATAGTATCTGATTTTCACGTTTAGCAGTACTTACTGCCAATAATTAGGCCATTAATCATTAAGTGGTATTACTGAGTACCCACTACCTCTGAGGCACTCTGTCAAACACTATGTCCCAGTCTTACAGCTGCTATCTTATTCCTGTGCCCATGTGTGGACATGAAAGAGCTGATTTCTGTGTAAATCCTTTTTAACTTTACGAAAGCCAGTTCAATTCCAGTTGTGCTTAGTTTTTGTTCAGCATGGAATTACTATCAAAAGAGATAGAAAAACAGATTCCTTAAATCACATTTTCCCCTAAGGACAGGACTAACAGCATCTTCTGAGAGCATAGTTTCTATAGGTTAGTTTAGGAGGAAGCTTTATTATCTTTGCCTTCTTCAATTAGTATCCTAGAGTGCACCTGTGAAGCTGTAAAAGTACACTGGCCTCTAACACCCTTTATGCTGTCTCCACACTGCCCAGGGGCAGCGGAAGTCCACATTTCCGTACCTCAACTCATGGTCTCCCTCCAAAGTGGCCAGTTTCTGTTTGGTTTGTCTATCAAAGCTCAACAAGGAGCAAGAAGACATGTGAGTCCAATCAGAATGTTAAATTTACTTCAGAAAAGCTAGGACACAATTTTGCATCCTGTGTGCAGGCTACACCTTTCAGATTATATGAATCCTCCCCTCACAGACGGCACTGACTAGCAAATTACAGTAATAATGATAAAAACCTCCTAGTCTCTCCTCTGCCCTAGAAAGGTTCTGCTTCCCTTTGCTAAAACCAAAATGACATTTCCCCATCTTATTCTTTACTACTTATTTCCCTTTCCCTTTCTTGTAGAAGTTGTATACACTGAGTTCATTAACATGTTTCCCCAGGAAGAAAACCCCATAGTTTTGTCTCCCAAGGTCTTTTAGGTTATAAATATTAGATAAGACCCTTTCTTGCCTTTGTATTTAAGCTAAGTGTTCACAAAAACTTACATCTTTTCCCAGTACCCGGAGTTCAAACTGAGTCTCCTTAAAGTGAACCTTTGTGATCCGAGGCCTGAAAAAAAACAAAGCAGTTGTGGTTTTAAAGACTTCATCTTTCAGAAATTCAGAGAAGTATCCAGTAGACAAAAAGGTTGGTGACTGACTTTATATACTTCTGTAGTGACTTATAGAGTTTTCCACGCAAGTCCTTTGCTCCATTCCCATCATCCTATCTTCCCTTCTCTACTATATGCACACAGCAACTTGGCACCCCCAGGCCTGACAGTGCCATCTTCCCAGGACAGCCAGGGCCTTAGGATCCTCCAGCCCCTCCATTCATTGGTAAATCAAAGCCAAAATTCAGACTTGTTCTGGATCCACAGCCCACCAGCACTCATCAGAGCGGGTGGGAAATCCTACCAGAGTTTCCCCCAGAGCCTAGAACCTCAGTGCCTGAAATTTGGAGAGATTATATACTAAGATGCCGTAGAAGAAAAAGGTCACACCCACACTCACATATTTATTTACCACGTATTGGTCAGGTGCCCACCCTTTCAAGGACACAAGCATCCTATAAGACTGAGACATGCAGTGGTTAACTTCTGACTGTGTCCTCTGGTCACTTACCAGAAATACTTCCCCACTTGCTTCTTGTTCTTATAGACAACAACACCAACTGGAGTTAATCCCAAGAAATACTCAGACTTGTTTTCTCCCTGAAAAAAAAAACCCATAGGCTCAAACCCATGAATTTATTCGAATAAAAGTTCATTATAACACTGTAATTGATAATATAAATACTACTTACAGGATTAATGTTGGATTTCATTTCTGAAATGTTTTGGTCCAAAAAGCCAGCTAAGCTATAATACTAGGTAATTTGATGCTCTTTTCTTTTTCCTTGAAGTTCTTGAGAGGACTTTGTTACTTTAGTGTTAATTCATACTTATAACTTTAGCTCATTAAAAGGACCAGGGAAGCTGGACACCAGTGGTTCACACCTATAATCCTAGCTACTCAGGAGGCTGACCTCTGAAGATTGAAGTTTCAAGTAAGCCAGGGCAGAAAAGTGTGTGAGGAGTCTTTTATCTCCAATTAACTGCAAAAAAAAGCCAGAAGTAGAGGTGTGGGTCCCTTAAGAGAAAAGGCTAAGAGAGAGTGCCCGGGCCCTGAGTTCAAGCCCCAGTGTCAGTACAAAGGATCTGGGGCATTCCACCAAGCCACTAACTGAGGTAGCCCCTGCTGCTTCCACAGTGATACCTGACCCTTGCTAAACATTAACCAGAATCCCTCTGCAGCTTAAAATACTGATGACCCGGGCAACCACACCAATAACTCACAATCCCCAGGCAGGGTCTAGAGCTTCCAAAATACACAGAAGCTCCAAATGAGCTCCAAATGGCTTCCTACAGCCAAGGCTTGAAACATTGGCTTCTATCCAGGGTGCTTTCAAATGGCTTATCTTCATTTTTCTCTCTGATATAGACAATCTTGAGAACCAATTCACCAACAAATTCTGGCAGCCAACAGCAGACACACACCATACTCCTTTCTTCCCTTGTAACTTTGCTCAAAAAAATTAAAAAATAGAAACTCTTCACTGCAGTTCAGGTGGTACTGGTGGGCACTTGTGGTTCAAGCTTGTAATCCTAACTACTCAAGAGGCTGAGATCTGAGGATTATGGTTCAAAGCCAGCCCAGGCAGGAAAGTCTGTGAGACTCTTATCTCCAATAAACTCTCAAAACCTCAGAAGTAGAGCTGTGGTTCAACTGGTAGAGTGCTAGCCTTGAGCAAAAGAAACTTGAGGACAGCACCCAGACTCTGAGTTCAAGACCCAGGATAGGCACCAAATAAAGAAAGAAAGAAAAAAGAAAATCTTCTCATAAAAGACTGAAGAACCTTGATTTTCAGGCAATGATAAGTCTTAACCCACAGCACCTATGTTCTAGGTATCCAGACAATGTGCAGAACTAACAGCCTGCAAAATTACATTCATAGGAACAGAAGATCACTAATATACATTGGAAGGATACCAGCTGTTGCCCACTTTCAGCTCTGGAAATTCAATCTTAAAGGAACGCATGAAAGATCCTAACAAATCTAGGTCATTTCCCATAAATTTCAACCCACCAACAAACTTGATTGTGGGTGAGGATAAACATTACAGAAGCAGAAACATTTTTTCAGAAGACTCCCTTTATAAGTTTTCCTTATGGAATGTTCTTTTAAAAATTTGAAAACCTAAGGGGAAAGTTTTAGAGGTATTTTGTTTTGTGACAGAGTCATGCTGCGTAACAGTCCAAGCTGGCCTCACACTTGAAATCCTCTTGCCTTTACCTCCCAAGTACTAGGATTACAAATATACTTCACCACACTAAAGGTTTTCTTAAAGGGTAGTGCTGTGAAGCAGTTAATGAACTAATGAGATTAACATGATTACTTTCTCCCAATCTGTTCTGTAATTGTCATTTCTACATGGACTGTGTGTCCTGGTATGCTTCTTCTTTTTTTTTTTTTTGGTCGGTCATGGGACCTGAACTTGGCCTGGGTGCTGTCCCTCAGCTCTTCGGCTCAAGGCTAGCCCTCTACTTCTTGAGCCACAGCACCACTTCCAGCTATTTCTGCTTATGTGGTGCTGAGGAATCAAACCCAGGGCCTCATGCATATAAGGCAAGCACTCTACCACTGAGCCACCTTCCCAGCCCTCCCCCCCCCCAAGTATGCTTCTCATGCTTCAAAAAATAATAAAAAATGATTTCTTGTTTCAGGAAATATTGATGATAAAAAAAGACATACTACAAAGTGAATATATGAGTTGTCTGCTTTAGAGAAAGTTTTACTGGGGTTTCTTAAAGACTAAGGAATTCTCAAATCCAACTGATTTTTTAAAAGTTCATCTCTAGCTATTTATTTCTTATAAAGAATAAGTCACTTGCTGTAATCCTAGATACTGAGAGCTAGACTAAGGTAGGAGGATTCCAATTTGAAGCCAGCCTAGAAAAGTCTATGAAACTCTTGACCAGCAAAAAGCTGAAAGCAGAAGTGTGCCTTGAATGGTAGAGTGCCAGCCTGAAGCAGAAAAGCTAAGGAAGATAAAGAGGCCCTGGGTTCAAGCGCCAGTACCACCCATTAAATAAAAATGGCAATTGACTTGTTATTTCAAAAAACTAAATGTGACTATTACTAACTACATGAATGCCATGTAAAGTGATGCATTTCGATCTCACTGGTATACAACAAACCATTTTACCAGGAATGGCTCAGAGAGTAAGACCTGGATAAGAAGAACACTCAATGCAGATCTAGTGTAACTAATCACCACTTCTGGCAAGTTTTCATCAGCCACACTGAAGAAAATCTGCAAAAAATATTTCTATTAATGCAGTGATACTTTCAGTGGGAGTCAGCGTCCTACAGATAGAACATGCCCATCTAACAGCCCTACCACTGCTAACCTGGACTGTTGCCTAATGCCGGCTTCACCTGACAAGTTATTTTCCTTATGGTTTTCAGTCATAATACCTATTTTTGGAAACCCTCCTGTTTTCTGTCTCACACGATCAATTATAAACCAATTTTAAATTGTTTTGACGTTTAGCTAAGCCCTTTGGAGCTGTTATCCAGATTGTGTTTTCAAGCCCAGTTAATTGTTTTCTACACATGGAAATATAATCACAGACTTTTATGCAAACCTCATTAGGGTTTAATCCATGCAAGAGCTGCTTTGTGTTTGGAAAACCCAGATGAAAAAAGTCTCATCCACTTGTCAAACAACAGTACTGCTACTCTCCTCAGGGAGTCCCAGTGACTTTTTAAGAAAAATGTCATCAGCTTAACATATTTTGTGTTTTAATTAAATGTTACTCACACAGACAGGATGGAGGTCAACGCCATACATCTCTAGGGACTTGGCCGTCCTCAAGTAATTCAGCTCAGCTTCACAGGGAGCCTGCCCCCTACATCAGCACAAAAACGAAGGGTTTGACTTTACTAACAGCTACTGCACTTGTAGGGATGCAACCATCTTCATTGTACTGACTGGAAAAACAATCCTTTGTACTCACGTAAGTCTACATCTTTGTATTTGAGGAAGGACTCTGCCTTCTTGGTGACAAAATGATATGTATAAAGATGATACTTCTATCAATGTCATGTTCCAAGTCTGTTCTTGTTCACTATGGTCTAGCCCCCAAATTCCCGGTATATATTAAAAATTCTCATTTCAAAAATCCCCAAAGAGGCTATTGAGGATACAAGCACTCAAAAAAAAAAAAAAAAGCATCCACTTCACAAAGAGCAAAATGTCTCCATGCACCAGCAGCTCTATCTGCATCAGAAAGAAATGTACAGCTGCACAGTGGTGGGAAGAGGAGGGAGATAGGGCTGACAACCAGCAAGGGCACTCTACAGCTCCTGAGCAAACTTACAGTTTAGAAACACACTAGTTAACATAACAAAATTGTAAAAGTACTTGTCATTTTTTAATATAGAATATAGAAACCTCCATAGATGATATAGAGAAAACAGCATCATTTCTAATGCAGGTGGGCATCTGCAAGAAATCTCCATAAAGGAAAAGGAAGAGGGGGGGGGCTGGGAAGTTGGCTCAGTGGTAGAGCGCTTGCCTTGCATGCATGAGGCCCTGGGTTCGATTCCTCAGCACCACATAAGCAAAAAGAAAAAAGCCGGAAGTGGTGCTGTGGCTCAAGTGGTAGAGTGCTAGCCTTGAGCTGAAGAGCTGAGGGACAGCGCCCAGGCCCAGAGTTCAGGCCCCACGACTGGACCAAAAAAAAAAAAAAGAGAGAGGGGGGGTGAAGGTAAGAGAAAGACAGAAACAGATTAAAAGAGATACACTGAGAAACAGACTGAGACAGAGACAAAGGGACATGGAGAGGCAGACAAAGATGGGGAGGAAGAGTGAAGGAATAATAGACAGAGACAAGGGGCTAGAGAGAGAAACAGATTAAAAGAGGTAAGTAAAATAGACTGAAAGAGACAGATCTCAATTGTTAAGATAGTTACAAATTCACAAAAAATTAAGAAACCATGCTTCAATGATTCTCTCATTTAAGTCATTTATACACACTTTTAAAACATTTGAAGAAGGGCTGGAGGTATTGCCCAAATGGTAGAGTATGTGCTTGTCTAACAAGAGCAAGGCCCTAAGTTCAAATAGCATGTTACTAAAAGAAAAGCATGTTACTTAAATCTATGAACAATAGTCAACAAAAATTAGACACAGAAAGCTACCAAAACCTTCACTGATCATTTTATATATATATATATATATATATATATACACACACACACATATAAACACTTTTTTAATAGTCACAATACTCACAATACCACAAAAACATGAACAAGAGCCTTTACTGAAAGCTCCACAGTAATTTCAAAATACAGTTGTCCTTTGAAACTCCAAGAAGACTATATTCTCCCTCCAATTGTGCCAACACACTGCTTTCATACTTTAACAAGAATGCTTTGGGCCTCTCCACTGAAACCTTCAGCTGAAGGGCCCCCTCAACAGGCTAGAAAGCTTCATAGTTGCATGTAAATACAGAAGCAAGAGCCACCCAGCAAGGGACTTCCACCTCTACTCACTGAGATCTTTTAGGTCAACATTTTTGTTAAGCACATGAATCCTACAGGTTTCTTCAATATAATGAATCTGAAACCAAAGCTAATCAAGGGAGAATGTCACATAAGAAGCACAGATAATCATAATTCCAAATTAAATTATATCTGCAATGCTTCAGGTTATGAAAGGCCATTCAATTGGGAGGGACATCTACTCTCAGAAGAGCTCATGATTTTCACATAATGTCTTCAGTGGCTCCATACCAGTGTCATCAGGACTTCCAGCTTCATTGTTGTTGTTGTTGTTGTTTATTTTATTGTCAAGGTGATGTACAAAGGGGCTATAAGTTATATGAGTAAGGTAGTGAGTAGCCAGCTTCATTGTTATTGCCTGACCAGGACTTTGTTTCAAATGCTGAAGAATTTACATAACACAGAGTAAATAGAGAATAAATTAAGGCATTTTGGAATATTTTTATAGTTAAAAAATAATATTTAATGTTGATTTCCAGTGCTTATATCTGGAATTCTAGCTACTTCAGAAGCTGAGTTCAGGAAGATCACAGTTTGAGGCTAGCAGGGACATACACTCAAGACCCCTTCTCAACCCATAACTTGGCATGGTGGCACACACCTGTTATCCTAGCTACATGGGAGGCCGAGATCATGTAGACTATGGTTCCAGCCCAGCTTAGCTAGGAAAGTCCACAGGTCTCCATCTAATATAAGTTAGAAGTGGTGACGTGTGCTTGTCATCCAACTAGGACAGGAAGCTTAAAATAGACAAATCACAGTCCAAATGTATACCAGGGCATCTCAAATATAATCAGGGCAAGAAAGGGGCAGAGGCATATCTCATCAGTAGAGTATCTTTCATGGCAAGCCAAGTACCACCAAAAAAGAGTAGTTTAAAGAGAGAAAGGGAGTGAGGGGTAAACAATGGCTGAAAAAAAGGAAGAAAGTACACAGTACTTAGAGAATTATCCCACTAGGTAAAACCATATCACATAATCTATATAAAAATCAGTTTCTGTAAGGGAAATTATGCATCAGAGTGTGATCTGAAAGGCTAGTAACCAAAAATACGATAACTTTAGGTACTGTCATTTATTTTCTCCTTTATATCATTTATATTGCTGGAGTTTTGATGGGCATTTTAGTGTTATAAGTCATTAAAAATAAAAAGTGACAATAAAAAGAAAGCTAGAATGTTCAAGGCAGAGATGAGGAAATGTACCAAACTAGAAATTTTCTCATGAATGTCAATAGGCTGACTGACAGAAGACATAGTTCCTACATTAGAGTCTTGTGAATCCTTTCTATGGCTTCTTCAAGTTCTTCCTTCTGATCAGGAACAAACCGATACTCTGATACATAGCCTGCAGTGTGCTTGTAAGGGTCGTAATCTCCAAGTTCAGCTGGAAAGAAATAAAGAAATATATCATTTTATTCTATGTTAGAAAATACTTTTAAAATTATAAGAATTAAGTAATTTCTATCAGTCTTAAGCAATTTTCTCCAAATACCTAATAAATTACATATACATCTATTAAAATTAAAACAACTCTCATAAGCACAGATAGATGGTACAAACAAAATCTTGACATGAAATATGTTATATATTTCTGCTTTCCCAGAGAACCTAATTATCACCATTTTAACCATTTATAAAGTAAAATATATATGAACATTAACTACACATGTATATATACACACATTCACTCTAATTCTAGTTATAATTCTAGTAGTATGTTTATAAGTACTTTGTATATGTATATAGTATTTGTGTGTATGTGTGTATATAGGGGACCCTTATATCCTCTTGGGCAATAAGGAAAGTATGTCTGTTCAAACCATCCAATCCCCAAATAATGGTCATAGAAATTTAACAAAATGCTGCCTATACCCTATTACAGGTTACATAAAGAAGCAGAATGAAACTTAAAAGCTCATTATGTTACTTGTAAAAGTTCTCCCTGCATCAATTCCCTTCCAAGCTCCAAATCCAGTTCATCTATTTGACATTTTTCCTAGGATATTTTTTCCTATATAATTTCTGGCCTACAAATTTTCTAAAGGACAAAGACCATGCTTAGCTTGATTCTTAAAAGATGCTCAATAAACCAGGTGCTGGTGGCTTACACCTGTAATAGTAGCTACTCAGGACGCTGAGATCTGAGGACTGTAGTTCAAAGCTAGCCAGGGCAGGAAAGTCCATAAGATTCTTATCTCCAATAAACTACTCAGAAAAAGCTGGCAGAGGTGCTGTGGCTCAAGTGGTAGAGCACTAGCCTTAAGCACAAAGAGGCTCAGAGACTACGCATAGGCCTTGTGTTCAACCTTGAGTTCAGGACCAGCAAAAAAAAAAAAAAAAGATGCTCAGTAATTATTCATACAAATAATCTTAGCCTTAGTCTCCAAGAAGACAGAACAACCAGAGCCATCCTCTGTGGCCACCATGTGGATGTCAAGAGCTAAAGTGCACTGTGCACCAGGTGTATGCCCAGGTGAACTTGGTGCTGGCACTTGGCCACGTGGGGTTCTTCAGAAGAGCTGGAGCAGGAAGGTGGTGGGCTGTTTTTTGTTTTTGGTTTTGGTTTTTGGTTTTTTGTCGGTCGTGGGGCCTGAACTCTGGGCCTGAGCGCTGTCTCTCAGCTCTTCAGCTCAAGGCTAGCGCTCTACCACTTGAGCTACAGCGCCACTTCCAAGGTGGTGGACTGTATCATCACTGATGGAAGGTGAGATACAAAACAGAACAGACTGTTATGCCCCCAGTGAATCAAGAATCAATTCTAGTCCTAAAACTAAAACTATACAACCTACAACTGGCTCCACTTTTACTTCTGTAGGAACACTTGTCAAAACTTGGGTTCTGATTTTTTTTTCTTCAAATGTCATTTGATAGGAAGCATTTTAGAAGATAAGCCTGCATAACAATATAAAACTTCAAAATATTTTCTGCCCACATTAGTGAATCAAATCTGCTTAGGTGAAACCTACACTGGATGGCATATGCTCCCAGCTGAGCAGCAATGTTGACAGGGCAGGGCAGCCGGCCCTGAAGGACATCTTGCTTCACCTGCAAGAAAAACTGGTATCTAAAAGAGAAATGGGGGGGAAAAGAGATTAGCAATCTCTAACACTTAAACAAATCTAAAGTTTCATGTCCTGATCATCAAGGTTAACATCAGTCATGGCCAGTGAAAATCAAGCCTCTTTCCACACCAAAGAAAGAGGCAACGAAGAGCTGCAGCTAAAATGCTCATGTCCGGGAGGCAGGCTGCCTGGTCTGAACCCAGCTCTGCTACTCACTACCCCTATGTAGGGCTGCTGCTTACTCTATCAGCAGCCTCCAACTCTTGAGGATTGGGAGAGCAGGGTTGATGTTAAAATTGAAGGTTAAAATAACCACCCACTGGCATCATCACTTCCACCATCATTACTACAGAATGCTCTTCCTTGGAGGAACAAATCACAAAAATCATCACCTACATCACAAGTGGCACCTACAAGGCTCAGAATTTAGTAAGCAAGTCATTTTAATGTAATCTCATCAATCTTTCTTTTTTTCCCTGTTCATTATCAGCTGCTTGCTCATTCCATGTTGTCAAAAGAGAATCTATCTTAATTACAGTGCCAAGAATTATTCTCAAGATAGTAAACATTGTAACTCATTTATGGACATAAACACTATATAACACTTCAAAAGTAACATCAGTACTACTATCTCCATTATATAGAAGAGGAGCCCCAAAGACAGAGAGGTAAAGTGACTATTGTCGAAAAGAGAACCAAAGAAACTAGACCCTAGAAATCTCTCAAGGAAAATGCTATTCAACTTTGACAAGCTTTTTGCTTTTCTCTGGTTCGGTCTTGTTGCTGGTGGACCGACAGAGGTCTGAGTTTTACCAGACAACATATGAATCACCACCATCATCACAAACATGCACTCACACACACCCACACACTTCAGGTTGCCCTGTCTGATTTCCCATCCTTTGCAAGGTGTCTTTTGATGCCACTGGGAAGGGCAGAGAAAAGCAAAGGAAATGAATGTAAAAATTCAGTATCTCACAGCTGAATTTTACGTATGTATATCTATATGTATATCTATATGAATCTTCTGTACAGAATCAAAGCCCTTCACAATGTTACATTATTACCAAAACACCGACCTTGACTTTGATTGCAACCTAGGCTTAAATGAAAACTTCCCCCAAGCCTACTGTTTTCCTGTTGTGAAGACATCATCTTTCCCAACTATCCATGGAAGAGAAATCAGCGACCATGGTGTAAACACGCCTAGAACTCAAATTCTATCACCACATATGTGGGTATGGGAAGTAACACAATTCTCTCTACCCCCTAGCTTAGGTATCCATCCCTTGGTTTTTCTAAAACTCCTGCTGATCTTCCATCATCCATAATTATTTTCCTTCAAATCTTTCAAAAAGATAAAGAGAACAACAGAGAGGTAAACAGGATCTTGCTACTCCTCTGGTTTGAAAAACAATACCTAGAAAGTCTTCTCTTTGTCATAAAAATAAAGATCAAGTGCCCAAGACGGCTTTTGTGACTTCTGCTTACTTCTTAGGTCAAATTTCTTGAGACACAGACCAGTGACCATCACTACTTCATAATTAGTCGGTTAGCTTTCCAATCTTACTTAATTACTTCCTATCCCCTGAAATGTCTGAAATGCTCACCTGGATATTACATCCACTTTATAACAATCATTTGTGCTCCTCTTGGAGAATAGAAAAATGAAGTGACATTAAATTTAAACCCAAAGTTTTATTACTTGGAGGCATTTATAGAATTACTTCTATGAACTTGGGTTTGCTAAACCCTCCTTCTCTACTGTACCTTTATTTTCCTGAAGTATTGAGATTTGTTTTTTAAATAACACAAGTCACATATGTATATTTACCATTCTCTAGTAAAACTTTTATAACCTTTGACTAAACTGTCACATCCCTTCCCAAATGCAGGATCAGAGGATCTAATCCTATAAACATTTCCTTTGAAGACAAAGGGAACAAGTTACAGGAGGAGATGGAAAAATAGACAGAACTAATTTCAAAAATATAGATATTACATTTCAAGTAGCTAGTACTCAGTACATAATAGCTACTCAATAAATAACTAACTTGATAGATGGAAATATAGATGAACAGATAGATGAATGGAAGTCAAAAAGGGGTATGGGTATTTTTATATGCTAAACACTTTATAGTGTCTTGGGGCCCATTTTAAATTAACTTTGTAAGGTCTGCACAGGGACACCTTCCTCCCTCTTGGCTAAGTTTCTGCCCAGTATCTGTTACCTAGGTAACTGGCAGACCTGGAAGCAGTCACCTTCCCCTTCTGCTAGGTCACATCCTGGGCCACCTCTTGTCACATGCCTCCCATCTGAGCTTAGGAGGGTACCAGACCCTGAGATCATGTCCTGATCCAGTGTGGCCATACCTTTTCCCCATCTGGCCCTACCTCTTCCTGTCTCTGGCCTAGATAAGTCCTGGCCTGGGTGGGTCACCCCTTTCCTTTTTGGCTATGCCTTTCTACCATGCATGGTGAGGGCAGCAGTTCGGTAAATAAACTTCTTCTCCTACTTGAATAGCGCATGATGTTCTCTTCATCAGCTATCTAATGAAACCTACCTATTTAATATACCTTACAAACTTTATATAACTTATTTTATGAGACTTATGAGTACAATTTATTATTTGTCTATTTTATGGGACTTTACGAATATAATTTATTATTTTCAGTAAATTTAGAAGATTAAAGTCATTGGGTCTTTTCTTCTGTGTCATTTTGATTAAAATGTTGAATGTTCATACCTGTAGTCATAACTACTCAGTAGGTTGAGATTCAGAGGATGTTTGTTCCAGGCCAGCCTGAGCAGAAACATCCATGGGCCTCTATCTCCAAAATAACTAGCAAAAAGTCAGGCTACAGGAATGACTCAATTGGTGGAGACAGCTAACCCCTGAGTTCAAACCCCAGTACTAACTAAATAAATAACTATGAATGAATGGAGCCCTTGTGTATCTCGGATTTTAATTAAAATAAAAACCTAGCAGTACCTAGACAGTTCCATCTAGCTTAACTTATTAGAGAGGCTTATGATCCGAATTATATGGTATTGCTGTTGCGTGGGGGGAGGGGGGGAAGGAAAGCTGATTAAAATGATCTACATAGCAAGAAAGTTTCCAGAACATGCTATGGTGAAAAGCAAATGTTTTATAAGGCAGCTTCTGCTACTTACTTTTTATTCCTTGCCCCTCCACCTCCATTCCCACCCCGTTCTGGGGACTGTCCCTGAGCTGCTTTTTGCTTAAGGCTAGCGCTCTGCCACTTGAGCCACAGCACCACTGCTGGCTTTTTCTGAGTAGATTATTAGAGGTGAATCCCATGGACTTTTCCTGACCAGGTTGGATTGAAACCATGAACCTCAGATCTCAGCTTGTGAGTAGCTAGGAATACAGGCATGAGCCACCGATGCTGGGCTAATTAATATTGTAGACTAAGATCTGTCTCCTAAAATAGATTATGAGTCCCAAGGGAGAATAATTTGGTCTTTTACCCTCTCTACATTTAAGATAATGCAAGAAACGACGGGGCAAGGAAAGGACTTGAAATATTGATCCCACAATTCTCCATTAATCTCATATTTGTCTAAGAGGTGAATTGAAACTAAGGTTAAACAAGTTGATGAGGGCCATCAATCATTTAGAAATTCTCAAAAAGCACTGCTAAAGATTTACTTTAAAAAAGAAGCGGAGAGACCCCCATTCTTCCAGGAGCCCCATGAAACTTCCCGGTCAAATCTAGCCATGACTGTTCCTCACTCCAATGAAGGTGAAATGCATCTCCAAGGTCTTGAAATTCTGTGATGGAAACTAAAAGACATGTCTGTTAGTTGAATGTGAACAAGACCCACCACACAGAGGGTAATGAAGAGGAAGACACAGCATGTGATCAGAACTAGTCTGGATAAAACTTGTGAGTGCAATGTTTAAACAACACCATAATATTGAATAATGCAGGAAAATGGCAGGTATGGCTTAGGAAGAGGAAAAATAAAATGAAGAGTAACACTCTTGCTTCTGAAGTTTAAAACTGATGGTTACTCTGGGAACAAACAGCCGTACTACTCTACCCTTACATAGTCCTTTAAAGTTCACAAATGTCTGTTGTAACAATGCATCATGGAATGTGACCCCACAGGTAGATAAGGACAGGAAGTGAGCATGTGACTGAAGGTCACTCTGCTAGCCAAAAAGTAAAACCAGAATCTCTCAGGAGATGATAGATCCCACAAAAAAAAGCTAGCAACAAGGAGGTTTTGTTTTGTTTTGTTTTTTGCTTTGTTGCTGTTTTTGTTTTCTTTACTTCTGTTTTAGGGAGGTTAAGGGGAGGCACAGAAAGGGTAGGACAAAGGGTGAACAATGCAGCAGTGGTACTCAATTGATACTATATTGAAAATGAACTATGTAACTTTTGGGTAGGGTCAGAGGGAAAAACTGGTAGAAAGCGAGGGAAGGGGTGGCACTGTTTAAAAAGAAATGTACTCAGGCTGGGAAGGTGGCTCAGTGGTAGAGTGCTTGCCTTCCGTACATGAGGCCCTGGGTTCGATTCCTCAGCACCACATAAGCAGAAAAAGGCCGGAAGTGGCACTGTGGCTCAAGTGGTAGGGCGTTAGCCTTGAGCTGAAGAGCTGAGGGACAGTGCCCAGGCCCAGAGTTTAAGCCCCACAACCGGCAAAAAAAAAAAAAAAAGAAATGTATTCATTACCTGACTTATGTAACTGTAACCCCTCTGTACATCACCTTTACAGTAACAATAAAAAACATATTTAAATGAATAGGTGAACTTCACATCAATTGCCAAGAAAATGCTATCAAATTACATATAAAATTTAAAAATCAAACACTCGTTTCTAGAATCTAAAACAAAAGTCTATTATAATTGAATCTATTTGGAAATAGCATTATTTTCCTTTTTAGAAAGAGTTGTCTGATGAATGAAAGTTCAAGGAAATGACAATGGCATCACAGGTAGGGCTCTGGGAAGACAACTGACTGGTCCTCTC